TTTTTGAGATGCAGTCTCACTCTGTCAGTCACCCAAGCTGGAGTGCAGTTGTGCGATCTGTCTCCTGGGTTCAAACAGTTCTCCTGCCTCAGCCAGCCACTGCGCCCAACTGATTTGTGTATTTTTAGTAGAGAAGGGGTTTTACTGTGTTGTGCAGGCTGGTCTTAAACTCCTGACCTCAGGTGATCCACCTGCCCTCTGCCACCCAAACTGTTGGGATTATAGGCGTGAGCCACTATGCCTGGCCTTATGTTCCTTTAGCCGGATTTAACAGCTTTTGACTGCCCTTTCCCAACCTTTTGTTTTCTGTAGTAGTTGTTTAGTCCTTAGGCCTGGTATGTTGCCTGCCACTCTGTTTTAATTTTCTAGATCTGAGTTCCTATAGGCCAAGAAATTATATTGTCAAATTTGCCTGGAAATGAATTTAAAGTAAGAATAAGTAAGCTGTGTAGTATTTGGAGGAGTTACTTGGTATGAATAAAGTGTGCTGATTATCACATTCCTTTGGAGGTTCAGTCTTTTTTTTAAGCTTTTGTATTATCTGCAAAGGTTTTATAAAATTAATTTTAGCACATACACAGATTTCATTTTATAAGCAACTATCAGCAGCAAAAGTTGTTAGTGTTGGTAACATGATACTGGGGGAAATGCACTGAAATTTCCAATCAGACGTTAAAAGATTTTTTTTTTTTTAACAATCCTGCTTTTAGAAATCAGATAATTCTAAATGGAATTAAAATCTTATTAATTTTTTTTAAAAATTTTATAGCTATGACTTCACACCTATGGATTCTTCGGCAGTTTATGTGTTAAGTAGTATGGCTCGTCAGCGTCGTGCATCTTTGTCTTGTGGAGGACCTGGTGGTCAAGACTTTGCAAGATCTGGATTCAGTAAAAACTGTGGCTCACCTGGATCATCACAGCTCTCTTCCAATTCTTTGTATGCTAAAGCTGTCAAAAACCACAGCTCAGGGACTGTGAGTGCCACTTCTCCTAATAAGTGCAAAAGACCAATGAATGCCTTCATGCTTTTTGCCAAAAAATACAGAGTTGAATATACTCAGATGTATCCAGGGAAAGATAACAGGTAAAAATAGTGATAATTCTGGTTATAATAAATGAGTAATACTTCAATGCAATTCATAGTATCTGTGGAATAGTTAAGTAAACTTATTCTTGAATAGTTTTTATTCAACTCTTTGTTAGGTTGACTTTTTTTTTTTTTTGAGGTGGAGTCTCACTCTGTCACCCAGGCTGGATTCCAGTGGTGTGATCTCAGCTTACTGCAACCTCTGCCTTCCAGGTTCAAGCGATTCTCCTGCTTCAGCCTCCCAAGTAGCTGGGACTACAGGTGCCCACCACTGCACCTGGCTAATTTTTTTGTATTTTTAGTAGAGACAGGGTTTCGTCATGTTGGCCATGCTGGTCTCAAACTCCGACCTCAGGTGATCCGCCCAACTCTTAGCACTCCCAAAGTGCTGGGATTACAGATGTGAGCCACAGTGCCTGACCAAATCTGTTTTTTTTTGTTGTTTTTTTGTTTTTTTTTGCATTTTGGCGTTGTTCCCATGTGATACGTTGGTAATCATCTAACATTGAGGGCCATCAGATGTACCTGTCATCTTTAAACTGAATGGGATAAATCATATATAATTTTCAAATCGAATTTTTCCCTATCTCTAATAAAGCTGTGTCTTAATTCAATGAATAAAGAAATGCCCATTTGGAGGCAAATTGTGAGAGAGTGGAGACTAGGTCAGAGAGACATGTATCTCATTTTAAGTTGCTATAAATATCAATTTGGATGTAAATTCACTGCAGAAATAATCTTTAGCTATGTATATTTTACAATTGTTAGGGAATATAGTCTATAGCATTGTGTACATTTCATTACCTATCATCTTTTAACTTAATAAATTTGTTTCCCAAGTGCCATCCCTTCAAAAATATCTCACATTCTTTGTTACTGTGGATGACTGAGATGGTGTGAATACTGATTTGTTCCAGTATGTCAACCATTATACAGTACCTTTAACCCAAAGACTGTTAGTTTTTTAAATGAGTTCTGCAAATGGAATATAAAAATTGGTTTTTATGTTCTTATTTTTGAGACAGTGTCTCAGTTGCCCAGGCTGGAGTGCAATTGTGGAATCTCGGCTCACTGCAACCTCTGCCTCCCGGGTTCCAGCGATTCTGGTGCTTCAGCCTCCCCAGTAGCTGTGATTACAGGCGTGTGGCACCACACCTGGCTAACAGTAGAGATGGGGTTTCACCACATTGGCCAGGCTGGTCTTGAACTCGTGGCCTCAAGTGATCTGCCTGCCTTGGCCTCCCGAAGTGTTGGGATTACAGGCATGAGTCACAATGTCCAGCCCAAAAATTGGTTTATAATAAAGGAAAAGGCAGCACAGTGTTTAACTGCATTAGCTTACTGGATAAAAAGAGAAATACAGACTTGTAGGAGAGCTTCTGCGGTTACTGTCGAAGGCGCAGATGCCTGTTGCTTTGGCTTCCATATTAGTATAAAATCACTTGATGTGCTTTGTGCAAAATTTCTATGACCTAGGTCTTATATGGGTGTCACGAAGTGAATGGTTAAGAGCTCTTCATAGAAGGAAGGTGGTTTCTATCTGTGTGCCCTGGGTGAGACTGTTTTAGTATGTTTCATAGTAGGGTAACGAATATAAATAGGAAAATAACTTGTAATTTTTGTCATGAAGTATTTTATCAGTTTATTACCATTCTGAGTTTATCTAGTTTTCTCAATTAATAAATACTATCTGAAGTTTTATTTGCTTGGTTTTCTCTTAAGAGAGAAACAGTTAGGCATGCATAGTTAATTCCACACTTTCACTATGGTTGTATGAATGAAAAAAGGCCTTTATCAAAACTATTTAATAGGTTACAGGCACAAATAGTAAGATTAGCTTTTAGTACACATTGAATACTTTATGCTGCTGATACGGAACAATGGACTGTATTACTTGGGATTTTACTGGAAATGAGTATTATGGCCTTGACTTTTTCCCATCTCTATGATAAGATTTTCATCTTCTTTTTTTAACTTCACATTTTTCTCCTGATGTAGCAGCACTTGACATGAGATTTATGAAAAATGTGTGCCTTCAGCATTGTGAAATATTTATTTTACAGAGCCATAAGTGTGATCCTTGGTGACAGGTGGAAGAAAATGAAGAATGAAGAGAGAAGGATGTACACATTAGAAGCAAAGGCTTTGGCTGAAGAACAGAAACGTTTAAATCCTGACTGTTGGAAAAGGAAAAGAACCAATTCAGTATGTTTCAATAAATAGTGTTTTAAAATTATCTTGCCTTATCCCTGTAGGAGTACTGGCACATTGGAGCAGGTGTTTCAACCTTTAAGAGGTTGTGTTGATGCTATTTCTAGCATTTTTATACTTCAAAACCTAATAATGTTTTTGCATCATATAAACACTGCCTTTCCTCAAGTGTCGTTTACTGTCTTAACATGGCAAGTTGAAATCTCAGGCAAACAAAGAATGTTGTTCTAAACACTGAGTTGCAAAAATAATTTTAGAATGCAGTATTTTGGGTTGGGTTGAAAAATGAGCATGATTAATCCTTTAATATCACAGTAGAAAATTTATCTAATTTTTGTTATGTCTCGGACCAATAAGGATGGAGGTGTTTGAGGGTATGTTAGCTACCCTTCATGGGGACTTCTGCCATTGGCACACAATTTCTAGGTTGAAAAAAATTTCAAGCAGAAGAAATAGGCCCAGGAACGGTGGCAAACAAGTCTGTATAATAAGCTATCTTGGATAGACTTATTTCTTATTACTTTTCCATTACTAAACTAGCATCTTTTAGTTTCAGCATTTTCAGATTAATTGCAAGAAAACTGCATGTGATAGAATGGGGTCAATTTGAAGTATTATCTAAAAATGAAGGGAAGATATCAATAGTTTATATAGTAGGAGGCTAGCCAAAGATGTTTTAAATTCACTCTGTGTACATGTGCCTGTTTCTTAGTAACATGTAGGTCATATCTGTTTAAATGTTTTAAGAGTTACTTTAAAAATAGTGATCAGTAGTCAGATGAGAGGGAAGCTGAACTGAGTTTTGGAAGTTCTTGGTTAATTTAGACTTTCATGTGGTAGGACTTTGCCTGTATCCCTTTTTCTGCTCATCCTAGTCAATGTCTTATCATTGCATATGTTTTCTGGATACTTGAGCCATCAGATATCAGCCTGCTTTTTTAAATCACCTTTAAGAAAGCAGTATTCTCTAATAGTAAACTTATAAACATCTTATACATTATCTTAGCTTTCACATGTAGGACTACTGTGTATTGATTTGTAAACATTCACTGAGTTTAATTTTATTTCCACAGGGCTCACAGCAACATTAAACCAGGATGCTTACATTCTTAAGTCTATATTTGCATATGCATTGACTCTTGATGGAAAGATGTCAGAAGATCAAGGTCTCACCATTTGTCCAGAATTCGTGTGACCATAAGATACTGATAGCATTGAGTCTAGAAATGATTTAATAATATGAGTGAGGATTTGCTTTTTCCATTAGAGCATTAAGTAAGCTAAAACTATCAACATTGTAAACCAAATTGCCTTATTTTTCTTCCAAATTTCATATATGTCTATCAGGTAATATAGGCTTGAAAATTGATATCCTGTGGTGCTAAAGTACAGTAGAAAGAGAGGAGAAGTGTATACCTGTTTTATTTTAAATTGTACGAAAGGGGAATTTAAAAAAATATGTAACTGCTGTTTATACATTGGCTCCTTACTGCTTATTAATCTGTATTGAACACATGATGGAATGAAGCAGAAGCTGGGAGTCGGCCTTTCCTCAAGTAACCACCACATGGCTCGGCATCTGTGCCAAACGTAGGCGCTCCTAGTCTGGTCCGTGCCAAGAGGCTACCAGAACATGTGGCAGGTGGCTGGGGTTGGTGCCCTAGCCTAAGAGCCACGTGCTGCAGTTACCATGGCATGCTGAGTTGATGCACCAGGTGGCAGCAGCCATCCATTATTTCCAACCCAGACCTAGCCCAGGCCAAGGTAAAGTTAGTTAATAGCATTGGGATATAGTCACTGTAATGGTGCTATTAACAGTCAACACCATTGTATTTTTTAACTTTGTGTTCTATATCTCCTCAGCCATGTATCTTAAATATATTTTGTCATCATAATCTTTATGGTGGGGGCAGACTTTGCACTTATTGCAGTGCAACACTTGCACTTTAATTTTCCTCCAACTGTCTAAAATTAGAGCAAATACATTGGCAATACAGCTGCTTTTGCTCTGAGCTACAATCATGGCTTTTCATGTTACTTACCAAGTGGTGTTTCTGGTTAGGAATCACAGCTGTAAAATTGATTTCAGTTCATTATTACACTTCATGATGTTGCCCCTAAATTTTGCACACTATATTCTTGTATATTATTTCAAATAAATTGAAAAAAAATTGCTTATCTCTGACATCTGCTGATTAATTGGCTGAATTTTATGAGTTCTCAGATTCAGGAGATGGAAAACAAGGCGGGTTCCTAACACTGCTAATTAAGAGTGATGATGGGATTTCAAAAATTAAAACTTAATAGTGGAACAAGAGCAGTCAATCAGAAAATAAGGCCTTAGATTACCTACTATTTCGCTACAGAATAAAAATGTTTACTTTTCACGTGGCATCTTTGTTACAAGGTTAAACAGCCCCAAAGGTCTGCTTTTAATACCATGACAAAGTATAACGAAAGCCTTCCTTTATTTAAAGATCCAGTATGACATCTTAAGGCTGTTTAACCCTGGATCTTAGCTTTGAGATGTGCCAGTGGTTCCTAAACTTTGTTGTCTATTGGCATCACTTTGGGGATTTTTTTTTTTTTTTTTTTTTTTGATACTGGTGTTAGGCTCCCACTCACATGTTAATTAATATGGAGTGCAACTTGAGCATCAGAATTTTTAAAAAACTCCCCTGATGATATGAACATGCAGCTAAGTTTGGAAGCCACTGAGCTACGTGCTTATTTAGTGAAGAAGGCAGGGCTGGGGGAAGCAGAATATATAACTTGATCATATCCTTTTAAAAGAAGTGGGGACTTTGGGTATATGTACGCATAAGAGGACTCAGTTATGGATGGGAAAGAAATTTTAGCCTTGCACAAAAATCTGAAAGCAGAAAACTTTCTGGAAAAATCAGGTCCATGAAATTAAAAGGATGTGATCATGACAATTTTATGCTAAAGTGCTAAAGAGGTAAATAAAGATCAATAGGAAATACAGAACAATCAATTACATTCTTAAAACAGTGGACAATAGCTATCTTTTGGAATATGTGTTAACTGCCAACTATGAATGGGTTAGCACAAAGTGGAGATGAACAAAGATTTCATACTGTTACTGAAGAGCAGACATAGCTTTTTGAAGCAGCTGAACCATTATGGGATAAACTGGTGCAAATTCTTTGCCTTCTCTACTTCTCACTGATTGAACGTAAGCTTCCAGGGCTCCCCTGAAAACCAAAAGGAAAACAATGTCAAAATATTACATAAATCACAAACAGATTAGGGGATACCAATATATAAAAATTAGAAATAAGCTCATTTCTGGAACTTTTATGCTCAGTTTCACAAGCCAAGTGACCAGCAGCCTTCATACGTTTACTGGTTACTGTTAGGTCTAGTCATGTACTCAGAGCCCTCTGGCTGTGTAAGTATGTTTTCATTCCCTTTTCCCTGCTTCCCTACTGAAGACACCTTAAACGGAATGGGCACTTGTGCCTACTCCCAGAGCTCACAAGGGGCATCCTGCACCTCTCAAAGGCAAACTCAGTACAGGGGGATGTGTTCCTTTGGCACACTTGGTAACATCAGTAGGTGCATTATGTTCCTGTTGTTTTACTGAACTATGAACACCCAACAACTAGAATAAGTGCTCTTGGGCTGTAATTACTGGCAAAATATATGATTGGGAAGTAGTTGAATTAAGGGTATGTAGTACCATACCATTATTTATGATTATGATTGTTCTCATGGATTAGGTTGGAGGTTAGCAAACTGCCTGCAGGCTGAGTCTAGCCTGATGCTTGTTCATTTATGTATTGGCTGTGGCTGCTTTCATACAATGGCAGAGTTGAACAGTTGAGGCAGAGATCATATGACCTGCAAATTATGAAATGTATCTGGTCCTTCTTTTATAGAAAAAGTATGTTAGTCCCTGAACCAGATCATCTGTTTAAAGTGGAGCTAAAAAGAATGGATATGAGATTGCTAATTTTTAATTAATGGTCTATTTAAATACCAGGTACACAAATTTTTGCCATACTTTTCTTCAAAATTTCAGTTAGACTGGAGCATTTGTAAAAAGATGTAAGTTAATACCATTACTCAGCTCACACAATAGGCACTTAAGTGGTTTTCTTTTTGCTGTCAATTGGGTTTGTTGAAGGTTTTTCATTGAATTGTGGGGAATACACTTGCCCAGAGTCTGGCTATCACTGATCAGTTTGTAATGCCCTTCCATCCCATCAACCACTGTTACACGTAATAGGATTTCACATCTCTTAAGTCCCAGCCCTGACCTTCCCTTCCTGATCTCTGCTTCTTCCTGTCCTCTGGACAGTTTTATCTGACTTGCTTCCAGGTAGCTCTCAAACTTACTTGTCAAAAACTTGGTGCAGCGTTCTACCCGCCTTCCCTTATGTCAACAAAGGGCACCATCTTAAGGTCTCTCTTTTCCCCTCCTACACCTAAGCGTTTACCAAATCCTATTAATTTACTACACACATTTCCACATCCAGTCCCTCCTCTTCCCTTTGCTTCAGTTTGAACCCTTGTTATCTTGTGCCCTAAGGATTGCTGTAGCCTCTCAGGTAGTGATCATCCTGGTGCTGTTTCTCCCCTGTTAATGGTCTTCCATATTACAGCAAGAGAGCTCTCCCTGAAGTATCAAGCACTTGCCATGCCCTATTCTTTATAGGAAATATGGAAAGATCTGATGTGTGTCAACATCCTTGACTGCAGGATCCAGCATTTTGGAATCCCCGAAGGCTGGCTCCATGCTCTGGTCGGTGCCCAGATGTGACCTAACTAGCTTCATCATCAAGCTGCTTCCAGCCCCTTCTGTGCTACTTCTGGGTTTTAGATAGCTTGATGTGGCCAAAAACACCTTCAAATCATTAGTTTCCATTTTTGTGTTACCAAGTAATATGCAAAGCATATTCGCCTCATTTGTATAGTGCGACATCACTGCCCACCTAGGGAAAGATCAAGGCTGTTTGTTCATGTGTTACTATGAAATAAAGGTGTCTCTGCCTAACAAAGTATGGGGTGGCAAAGGGCCTGTTTATCTTTGGCCATACTGAATGTTTCAGTTAAGGAGCCACATTCTCTTAGCCCTTTGCACATTATCTTCCTTATCCTTAGAATACCCTTCCTTACTTTCTTTCCTGAACAGCTCTTTATATTCTAGGACTCAGCTTCAAATGCTCCCTTTCAAGAAATGCCTTTCTTAACTCCAGGCAGCAGGAAAGAATGGAAACCACCTTGGAGTCACACAAGTTTGTGGAACGATCTAACTTCTTTATCAACAGCCTTGACTTAGCAGGATCCAGCATTTTGGAATCCCTGAAGGCTGACTCATGCTCTGGTCAGGGCAGGAGTACTTTAAATCAGGTATGTGGAGGGATGGGCAAGGCCTTATCGAAGAAGCGTAGCTGTTTAAGATGTAATTTAATACCATTACTCAGCTCACATACTCAGTTTCAAGTCCCAGCTAACGCATCACTCTTAATTGGCATGCAAGGTGGGATTTAGTGCTCTTAGAGAACAATGTTTTGTGAGATGCCTTAGTTCAAGTCAGAGCTGACCCTTAATGGAGACACTTGGCTATGAAAAAAACTTGCTTCTTTTAGTAATATGCTTCTAGTTGGTGTGCCATCCTGGGAAACTGTCTCCACTCCCCAAATGTAGTCCAAGATTTCATATAATTCATATACAGTAGAGAAATCCCCAAGGGCTCATCTGTCTTTAAGACAGTGAGGTGTATGTATCGGTGTCTAAGAAGTGTTTAAATTGACAGGAACTATAATCATTTCATAGTGAATGGATTAGAGGTATTTGATGGACAAAAATCAACTTAGTTTCGTTGTCATTTAAAGACAAGACATCACGTAAGTTACACAATATGTAGAAGAAAGATCAGAAATGGGTTTGGTTAGATTTCTGAGTAGTCATCAAAAACATCATCGGAAGTATGGGGAAAAAAAGATTAAGCTGCCCTCCTACATGAAATCAGAGCAAGATTTTCGACTACTTATTAAATTACTTTATTTGCTTAAGCAAAACATTAGCTTTCTTGGAAGTCGGGCCAAGCATTATGTAAGTCTTAACTCTGGTTTGAAACCAAAAGAAGTTGATTATTTTGTTTATCCTTATTGGGAAAAAAACAAAACATGATTAGTAGAGGAATGGTCTGTGGTAACTTGGCAACACTGCTCATGGTGACAAAAACTAGCCAAGTGGAGGTTTTCATAGAAAACAGCACTGATTTTTGTTAAGTACTGAAATGCAAAAATGGCAAAGATTCACTACATGCCTCAATAAGCAGTTAACCCCAGGCTTTTCCCTGGTTCCATCCTCCCTCTTGGTCCTATCTCAGGCACTCCGTTCCCAGCACTGATAGGTAGCTAGTGACAAAGCGGTACCAGGAGGAGAAACATCACCCTCCATCAGTGGAGATCTGGGAGTTCTGCAGAAATACAGAGGGGCCGAGGGAATGGCTTCCAGCTTGTGGGCCCTGGACTATGGCGAAAGGGGAAGGGATCCATGGCACCAAACATTCTCTGATAGTGTAGCTAAAAGCTCCACTAGGCTAATAAGGTTTGTGAACATTTTTGACATCATTAAAGTGTACACCTACTCAAAGAGGACCATAAGAACGGATGCTGCTCCACAGCAAACAGCCAGAGTAAATGGATTTGAGGCCAATTCCACTGCTGTTACAGAGCTTGAGAAATCTTTGCATCAGAAACTCTATTGAATATACATTCAACACTTACAGACCCACAGGCATGAGCCAGGCCGCTGCCTCTGCATCCAAGGGGGCACACGTGTCTGGAGCACCTGCCTGATAGGGTTGAGTACATACAACTGCCCTCACTTACACTACTTGGCCCCATGAGTAAGTCATTATTCTGATTTTCAAATGAACTTGACTAGTATTCATTTCAAGCTTCAGAAAGCATCTGGTGTTAGAAGAAAAAAGGAAGGCAGGAGAGTTGACTATTTGCCATTCAGCAGCAGTAGTTACACTATCCTCAATTTGCCCTATGTTATGACAACCTAACATATTATGCTGGGAGGAACAGCATAAGTATACAACAAGGTTTGCCCCAGAAGCTAAAACAAATTTACTGACATTTAAAGAGCAATACTCACCCTCAGTTTGTCTACAGGGGAAAGAAGTTCATCCAGTGATGCTTCAGTATGCAGGAACAAAACTGCTTTGCAATAATACATAAGAAAGAACATTGTCTAGGACAAAGGCCCCTCCTTGCCAAAGCCTGGGATGCAGCAGGAGTATGGTATTTTTTTTAATCCTTGAAGAAGAACTCAATTTTTTGCTAAGGGCATGAAGGTTCTGAAATCAGCCATGTGTGGAGGGATGGGTATGCCTTTTTTAAAAAGCATGACAGTATTTCTGAGCATGATTTTCAGTTGCTAAATATAGGCTTAGCAACAGCACTGCTGATGAAGTCACTCAGGAGACATTTTTAAAGAGAAGCAAAAGAAAACAGATTTGTGATGTACCCACAGCAGGACAACTGTTTTGGATGAACTCATTCCAACTTGTTAAGACCACAAAAATGACCAACTTGTTAAGATGACAAAATGAACCCTGTTCAATTAACTGAATCCTCTATTACCAAGTGTGTTGCAGCTGAGTGAATCTTTGGGACTCAGGAAAAATAATCCACACAGACATTGCAAATCCCTGAGTTAGCCCCAGGCCCAAATTCCTCACCCAAATCCAAAGCCTTGCCAGAGGGCAGATTTTACCAGGAACATTCACAGGGCTGGCAACCTCTCCCATTTCTATGTCAGATGCTCACAGCTGAGTAACAGATAAGCAAGGAAAAGGAGCACAGTCCGAGCTAATGTTTATCCACACATAGGCCCAGAGGGCCAATGGCTTATGTAGGATCTGGGCACCAAGCTTGAGGGCTCAGGGTCACTTCTGAAAACAAAGCTGACAAGCTGGTATTTCCTGCTGACCTCTCATAGCTTCCTCAGCAGTCTTTCATCTGAAATGGAATATGACCCACTATGGCAGGGGTGCATGCCCTTGGCTACACCCTGGACCTTCTTGGGGAGCTATACACAAATCCTGATTCCAGGCCTACCCCAGAGATTCTGAGGTAGGCAAGGGTGAGAGGCTTGGGCAGTAGGAATTTTCCAAGCTGTATAAATGATTCTGTGAACACACATGGTTTAGAACCACCTCATCATGTCAGCCCCACTCTAGCTTTAGAAAACTCATCACCTGGTACCGAGGCAACAAAGGATCACTGGGTGCAGTGGGTCCAGACCAACAGAATTGGGATCCCCTGGGAGAGTTGAGAATGACTTCAAGAGCTATTTTAGAGAGGCACAATGGAGTGGTTTTGAGGAATAAGGTTAACAGAGGAGTTGAATGACGATATAAAGGTTTTCTAGCTTGGCTAGGTAGGTGACTTTGACCTCCCAACCAAGACAGGGATAAAAGAATGAGAAGGTTTAATAGAAAAGATTATTTTGACCATTTTGGGGTTGGGATTTCTGTGGGTGGTGACATAAGATAGCAAGTTTACTGGGCCAAGGCCCCATGCAATAGGCAGTCACAGACCTGGGGGCTCTTCAGTATACAAGGGGCACTAAAGGCACAGGTCTGGACAAGCTCACCTGGGGATCAAGGCAGAGGCAGGATGAGAAAAACAAAATATGGGAAATGATAGCATTTAAGGAATGGCTAGAAGAAGAAAATTCAGCAAATGAAATAGAAAAAAAAAAAACCAGATGTTAGAACCGAAACAGATGGCTGTGGTGTAACGCTAGCTCTGAGAGGACAGGGCCACACCTCAGCTTACTGTGTATCCTCAGTTCCGGGCCCAGGGCCTACCATGCCAATCAAATGTGAGCTTAGCATCAATAAAAATGTGCTGAGTCCCAGTCTGAGTTTAAAGAAGGAAATGGCGGCCAAGTCTAGCTAAAGCTCCAGAGTGGTAAAAACGGGAATGTTTGGTGGCTGGAAGGTCTCCGGTGTTGGTAAGAGCAATTACAGGGAAGAGTGTTGCTTAACAAGTCATATATGACAGTTAAAGCACCCCACCCAGGGAATGGTTGGGGTACATGGGGGCATGTGCAAGTGTGTGTGCAGGCACATGCGTATGTATGTAAATGCATTCGTAGGGCACTACTGGAGGTCCATGGCATCCAAGTGGCTGCTGGGTTGTTCTCGTTTCCTAAGAACTGTTTTGCACTTGAGTATTTTTAAAATTCACTCACATCTGTGTTCCACCAATTCAGTAACTGCAGCATATGAAAAAAGTAAAAGATGCGGAACTAGGGCAAGACTTTTCAAGCAGATGATGACTTTCAAAGGTAGAAATGCAGGGTCCTTAGGGGTGCATGGGACACAGGATTGCACATCTGGGATATGAAGGTTTGGAAGTGAAAGAAAGCGAAAGATGTTGTGTTCCAACTGCTGGCTGTTCATCACCTGTGCCTGGGAAGTGAGGTGGCCTGCCACCAGAAGGTGCAGTCACATGTCCATGCCCCCAGGCACTGCTCCTTCATCCTCTCCTGCATCCCCACCCTCCCTGGGCTTTCAACCCAGATGGGTACCCCTGGAGCATCTGGCTTTACCTGATGAGGAGGAGCCTGTCCTTTTCAGATGGGTGGTCATCTAGCCACTGAGAGAAGCGTGCGTGGGACCACTCTGCCCTCTGCAGGGTTGAAACACAATTAGAGAAGAGAAAAGTGCATAAGCATTCTTCAGTAAATGGCAGCAAGTTCTGGTACAAAAAGCACTCTCGAGGATTCCCAAGGTGAAACTGCCCAACACCTGCCTGAGGGAAGTGGGAAGGGGGCACAGGCCTTGGTGTACCTTCCTGACTACAAGGAGCCTTCTAGATTTGCCAGGTGATGGTGGGTCAGTAAAAAAAAAAAAAAAAAAAAAAAAAATGGGGCTACCATCAAAAATTCTTTATGAACATAATTTACTTGTATCATTATTAAAGGCAAATTCTGGATGCATCAGGTAATTTTTTGCACTGCTGAGAAAGAAGACACTGGGCAGTGGGACTTTTTCTTTTCTAATATCTATTCACTGTCAAAGATAGACATCAACGACTAAACAAAGCAGCGGAGGGCCAGGAACCATTCAGTGAGTGGGGGCTCCGGATTCACAAAGGTAATGGGAAGAGTCACAAAACAGATCTGGTTTGACTTTACTTATTACCTGGAAAGGAGATTTCAGCTCAGCAGGTGCTCTCGTGAACAAAAACTGAATAATGATGCTGAACGGAATCACATCCCCCAGTGCAGGACTATTGGCTACATGTTCACTTGTTTGGAAGAGGAGAGGTCTAGACGAAAAGACAGAAGTTATTTCACACTGTTCAATGCTGAAAGAGGTGATTTGGTGGGACAATCATTATTCTTGTAGAATAGCATTCTTCCTAGACTGGCTAGTAAAGGAGCCCTCCACTGCTTAACCAACCTATCCAGCCTTGAGATGCACACATGCCTCCAGCCCCACATGCCCACATGCTCACAGGCTGATCTAATGATCTACCCTTCAGCTCCCATTCAACCCCCAGTTCACTAGTCTACAAGTCTGACATCCAGGGGGCTCAGCAAAAGTTCACCTAATTACTGGGCTAAAAGCAAATAAAGAACAAAAGTAAAGCCTTCAACTAGTTGTTACTAACAGATTCTTACCTTGATCAATCCTTTTAGCTTTCATTTAAAATAGAATCCTTCTTTGGGCCATAATCAAATGTGAGTATACTCAAACATTTTCTACACAACTTTTCAAAAAGGCAAATATGTCTTTGTATGTACAGTTATTAGTTTGCTGAACATTCTGTCAAAAATTTATGCTAGCTCCCTTATACTATATTACATCTCTGGGTTTCATTGTTCACATTTTATAGAAGGAGCATGGAGGTGAATCCTTTCCACTACCAATTATATACCACCTTTTGCAAAAGGCTGGCAAGAATTATTTGAATTGTTATTGGCTTTGAGCTCTTATGGATGAGAGCTGATTAGAAGAACCTGAGCTTCTAATTCAGTGGACACTGAATCTCAAGTGGTAAGATGGCAGCAACATCTCTTGACAGATCAGATGTGATTCTGAACTATGTAAAACAGCACTGTATCCTGGGCTCTTTCTTCACCCCACCTTAATTACTCTAATTATGAATGAAGGCCTGTACAAAATACAGAAGTGAACTTCTTCCCTACACTAATGATAAGGTCGTCAAGAGTCAGGAATGTTCTCAATAGACAGCTGATTCTCATTAGATACAGAATTATTATTAGGAAAGATGACTTTATATTAGCTATTCTACAAGTAAAAATCCATTTCTATCAAATAACATTATGTTGTAATTTATTTTCTTTGGTTTCTGGAGAAACATTTCAGTCATTGCTTATCACCAGAAAGCCATAAAGCTCCAAACCAGACGTTCCATGAGATGACGACTAACGTCTTCTTATGGCCACACGATAATGTGAATGCACCTGCCTTGAAAATCTGCAAGACCCAAATAATTTCACAGTGTTCAATGCTGAAGAGCTTTAGGCAATCAGTCAAGTACCTAAACAAATATGAAAACTTAGCTGAGCAAATTTCAGTTTTGTTGGTAGGCATCCCTGTAAGTCCTTCTCTTTGTGGATGACACTGTTTTCATCTAGGTAAAAGCCCCTAGTTTTAACATCATTTTCATCATCAATAGTCGCAAGAGCTAACAAATATAGCACCCACAATGTGACAGGCACAGTTTAAAGCTTTATAGAGGGTGAGGTCAGCAAGATGGTAGAACAGCAATTTCCAGGTTTCATTCCCCACCCACAGAAAATTCAACTAACAATTATTCACAGAAAAGAACATCTTTGTGAAGACCCCAAAACTTGAGAATGAGACTGAAACATCTAATGGAACAAAGAACCACATAAAAACTACATTAGAAGAGTACGAGACATGGTTTCACCTTGACCATATCACTCCTCCAAGTCAACAAGGAGGCACAGGGGGGATTCTCCTAAGCCCACATTTTCTACAGAGGAAAAGAGAACTGAAAGTAGACAGAATGCTAGCTTCCCTGGCATTGTGTGGTGCTTTGAAGGAAGCCCACTACTACTGTCTTGCCTCAAAGGGAATATTGGAGTAACAACAGAACAAGATCCCCTGGTGTGAAACAAATCAAGAAGGTAGAGCTTGCAGTGACTAGTGGGCAGATCTGGATGGTAGCTCTGTGTTCCTGCCAGCAGTGGCACCTGATCAGAGAGACCAGCTAATGATCTACCTTACCTTCAAAGCTGAGTTGGCTGCTCCCAGAAGCTGAATAAGAAGTTCAACCTGGCTTGAGTCCCTAGAAAGCCAGCCTCTATACCCAGCCTCAGAGCCCACTCCAGGGCCCTGCCCAGGAAAAGACATGCTCACCACAGGGCATTTTTTGCAGAGAACAGAGGCTAGATTTGCCCAAACCCTGAAGTCCAAAGAGCAGCTCCAAACAATGGCTCCACCCAGTGTCAGGGCCCACCCCAGGGTCCAGCTCAGGCAAGGAGATTCCTACCAGTGTGTATTTCTATGGTGCATAACATCTGGACCTGTCTGTCTAGAACAGTGATCCATGTAAACCTAGAGTCTGGCCTGCAGACCTGCCCAACTGCATAACCTAAATAGCAATACTGCCCAGCAAAGAAATACGCTTTGTGATCCTGCCAGAGGCAATCACAGTTCCCAGCCAGTAGCTCCACTTGACTGCAGAGCCCAGCCGGTGGTCTTGCTGGATGGTGAAGCTCAGCAAGCAGCCCCACCCAAACGCAGAGCAAAGGCAGAGACCCAGCGAACTAGAGAAAATGACAGCAAGCTCTGCTTCCTTGAGGTTGATATCAGCTGGCTTATCCAGAATCATAGACTAAAGTAAATAATGAAGTTTAATCTATACTAAAGAACACCTCTAAAAGACAGAAGAGGTAGCTGTCTCCTGAAATGCACAGACATCAATACAAGGACATGAGGATTATGGAGGCTGGGTGCGGTGGCTCACACCTGTAATCCCAGTACTTTGGGAGGCTGAGGTGGGCAGATCACAGACCATCCTGGCCAACATGGTGAAACCCCTCTCTACTAAAAATATAAAAATTAGCAGGGCATGATGGCACACAGCTGTAGACCCAGCTACTCAGGACGCTGAGATGGAAAAATTGCTTGAACCCGGGAGGTGGAGGTTACAGTGAGCTCAGATCGTGCCACTGAACTCCAACCTAATGACAGAGTGAGATTCTGTCTCAAAAAAGAAGAATTAGGGGAATCATGATATCACCAAAACAAACTAATAAAGCTATAATAATGAACCCCAAAGAAATGTACATCTATGGAATGACTGACAAATAATACACAACAATCCTCTTAAGGAAGTTCAGCAAACTACAAGAATATACAAAATAAAAAGTTAAATGAAATCTGAAACACAATATACGAACAAAATGAGAAATTTGACAGAGACATAGAAACTGCAACAAAAACAATGGAAATACTGGAGATGGAGAAGACAACCGAAATGAAAAATTAAATAGCAAGTTTCATCTGGAGACTTGTACAAAAAATTCAGCCCAAAGAGGAGTTCACCAACACACATAATAAACTATCAAAAATCAAAGGCAAAAATTCTGAGAGCAGCAAGAAATAAGAAACTTATTACATACAAAGAACTTGCAATATGGCTACTAGAGGATTCTCAGCAAAAACCCTGTAGGGCAGGATGAAATGAGATGATATATTTAAAGTGCTGAAGGAAAATAACTACCAATCAAAAAAGCTATACTTCAGAAATGAGAAAGAAATAAAAACTTTCCCAAGCAAAAGCTAACAGAGTTCATCAGCACTAAACCAGCCAATTGAAATTGCTAAATGGAGTTCTCTAAGCTGATATAAAAGGCTGCTAATTAATAAAATATGTAAAAACACAAAAACCAATGCTATAAATGATATAGAATCACACTCAGAAAAATCTAAACTGCAATAGTGGTCTGTAAAATAATTTTATCTCTAATATGAGGCTATTAAAATTATAGCTGAAGGCTGGGCACGGTGGCTTATGCCTATAATCCCAGTGCTTTGGGAGGTTGAGGTGGGCAGGTAACTTGGGACAAGAAGTTTCAGACCAGCCTGGCCAACATGGCAAAACCCTGTCTTTACCAAAAATACAAAAATTAGCCAGGGGTGGTGGTGTGTACCTGTGGTCCCAGCTACTCAGGAGGCTGAGACACAAGAATTGCTTGAACTGGGAGGTGGTAGTTGCAGTGATCCAAGACTACACCACTGTACTCCAGCCTGAGTGATGGAGTGAGACTCTGTCTCAAAACAAACAAAAAAACCCCAAAAAACGATAGCCCAAATTAGGGATACAAATTGCAAAATGATGTATATTTTGACATCAAAATATTAAAATGTGTAGAGAAGGGGAATACAAATGTACAGCTGTTGTATGTATCAAAATTCAGTTGTTATCAGCTTGAAATATCCTATCATTAGCATATTGCTTTTGGAAGATTCATGGTAAATACAAAACAACAATCTAGAGTAGAGGCACAAAACATACATGGAAATAATTCAAAGCATACCATTACAGAAAAGAAATCAGATCACAAGGGAGGACAGCAAGAGAGAAACAAGGAAACAAAGCATCCACAAAACAATCAGAGAACAGACTACAAATTAGTAGTGTCAAGTCCTTACCTATCAATATTTACTTGGATTTTAAGAGAACTAAAATCTCCAGCAAAAGACAAAATGGCTGAATGTATTAAAAAAGTAAGACCCAGCTACGTGCTGCCTACAAGAGACTCAACTGACTTCTAAGGACACACAGAATAAAAGAGAAGTATGAAGAAAGATATTCCGTGCAAATGGAAACTGAGAGCAAGCAGGGTTAGCTATACCTTTATCAGACAAAATAGACTTTAGCTCAAAACAACAAAAAAAGGTAAAGAAAGTCATCATGATAAAGGTGTCAATTCATCAGGAGGATATAACAATTGTAAATATATACGTACCGAATATTAGAGCATCTAAATACGTAAAGCAAATATTAAAGGATCTAAAAAAGAAATAACTTACAATGCAGTAATAGTAGGGGACTTCAATATCCCACTGGCAACAATGGCAGATCATCCAGATAGAAAGTTAATAAGGAAACAGTAAACTTGAACTACATTTTAGACCAAATGGACCTAAAAGACATATACAGCATATCCTATTCAACAACAAGAGAATACATGTCTTCTCAAGTGCACACATATCTTGCTTCAGGATATATCATATATTAGGTTGCAAACCAAGTCTGAACAAATT